GCAGAGTCTTAACTTTGATAAAGAGAATCTCTTTGGGTTTGAGACTTTAGTCTTTGCAACTTCAGGGATCTTATCTATGCACAATCAGCTTGTAACACTCCAAAGAGAAAGGAAAACTTGAAATCGCATCATATGACCCCTTTAATGACAATTAAGCAGATATTATCCCTCCATTCTCATTATTGTAATCCAACCTTGAATTACTTGTAATATTTCTAATATTTTTAATGGTCAGTCTCATGACATATGGCAGTTTTATTACTCTATTACAGTAAACAAATACTGTTATATAATGATGTTAAAATTGGTATAAAGCAATACAACAAATGCTACAATGATGCATAAAGATAAAGTTTAAATTGTATTTTTGTATTTTTATTCATATCTATTATAATCCTAAGCAGGTTTAATTATAGTTCAATGAGCTAAAACCAGTTTTTTGTTGTTACTTGAAATAAAATAAATGTTAACTGAATTAAAATAAGATATAAAAAACAAATTAAAGCACATAAAAAAGCACAACGCAATTACTAAGTCTTTAACTAAAATAAAAACAAAAATATAAAAGCATTTAAAATATTAATAAAAACTATAAAACTATCTAACTCATGCTTAAAATTGTAATTTCTATATATTATTTTCCATTTGGTTTTGGAGTGAAATATGCCCCGGCCTTTTTTTTTATTTATTTTTTTATTTTTGGACCGGTTTCATGAGAATCTCTCCCCTATAATCAGGTATATGAATTAAATTGTTACAAACATTATATAATGCCACTGATCTGTTGTATATAGAATCTAGCTATCTGTTATGTATTTATTAAGCATAGCATGCATGCATATATGAACATTATACAAATCCATTTTTCATGATGCTGGCATTTTTGTTAACTACTGACCTATTAAGCATTATGTAATCATGTTTGTTGATAAAGTAAAATAAAAGTCTATGTAAATTTGGATTGACACGCCAAATTTGGGTTGTCTTGGATTATCTTTGATCAGTGAATGCTGTTGACTGTAATTGCTTTATAATGTACTATTACATTAATTTAATCGAATCAGATTAATTTCACAAATCACAACCTCATTAATGGATATAAAAGAAGTCCAGTCTTCCTCATTAAGTTAGGGGATCAAATTCACATGTGGTCCATTGAACTTCATGCATGTTAAAACAGAAATAAGCATGGTCTCAGGGAATCAAGTTGACAGGTGCATTTCCTCACAATTAAAAATTGAAGGCTACTCTAGTTAACAGAGCTGGATCATGTACACTGCCATGCCTTAACATGATCTAATTAAAAAAATAATAATAAATTATTTTTGCACTCTAAAAGGATTATCATAAACTTTCACTTTGTTTAGAAGCATAAGTCTAATAAGTAAGTAGAAGTAGAAGCACAAGTATAAGATTTAACACTTAAATGTTCTAAATGCTCTAGTCCTCATATAACACATTAATGTCATGAAAGAACCTTATTGGGAGTCATAGATGTCTTTCAGACCTGTATTCATGTTGTTTCAGACCTGTATGTCTCTTTTGAAGAATATCTTCTGAAGCCATATAATGAGATTAAAACCAATAATCAGCAAAAATCTTGCTTGACACCCATGGCGGTGTTATTGTAGTATCATTGAAATACTGTTATAGTTTTTATAAATATTTTAAATAAGGTTTTATTTTTATACTTTCCGTTTTCGTTTTAATCTAGTTAAAATTTTAGCTTTTTTTGTAATTTTATTAGTTTTTTTATAGTCTGTATAGTTTTTTTATTCATTTTATTCACTTTGTTATTTTAGTACATAAAGAAGAATTTCTGTCTTGGCAACTAGCTGAAATATGTATATTTGCATAGGCCTATACACACACACACACACACACACACACACACACACACACACACACACACACACATTTTATGTTACCTCAGTTAAAGTTTCTATTATTTTGAATTAAAAAAAAGTTTTAATGGTTATAGTTTGAGTTATAGTTAACCATTATATCTCTAAGCCATAGTCACCATTCGCTTTCATTATATGTATTACACGAACACGATTATATGTATATATATATATATATATATATATATATATATATATATATATACGCTGCTCTTTTCTATATAATATTATTTTTACACAGAGATTGGTAGGTCTATTAGTAGAATCTGTTGACTTCAGCAATCTTTGTTGCATTATGTGCCAATGGTGACCATTCAAAAGTTTTTCTCCAAAGTTTGCATGCCTATAACTCAAGAAGTTTTAATGATATCTTAATGCCCTTTTCGATGTTGGGTCTTAACAAACTTTCTTTTTGGCGTCTTCATTTTTAAGGCCCTATATCAGGGTTCCTCAAATCTTGCCCTGGAGGGCCAATGCACTGCAAAGTTTAGCTCCAACCCTGATCAAACTCGCCTACCTGTGATTTTCTAATGATCCTGAAGACATTGATTAGCATGCTCAGGTGTGTTTGATTAGGGTTAGAGCTAAACTCTGCAGGAAAGTGGATCTCGTGGGCCAGATTTGAGGATCCCTGCCCTATATGGTTCATTTCCAGAGATATTGGAATTTCAATATGACTCCAGGAGTAAATAGTTAAATTGTACACATTTTCAGTGGTCAAAAACCAAATGTGATTCATTTTGCATAAAGATGATGATTCTTCTTTCATTTTTAAAGAGCAATGTTACCATTGGCAGATTTGGGCACATAAAGTAACAAAGATTGCTGAAGTCAACATATTTTGCTAATTGACCTACCGATCTCTGTGAGAAAAGAACATGATACTGTCATCTTTCTAAAGTCATTTTTACCCCCCTGTAATTTGGCTCCAAATCTCAGGTGAAAATTGTCATTTTGACCCCCCTCTACAAAACAGTGGAATACTTACATCCATAATATACATCTATGACATTTCATATTTTGGCTTTCTTCTTAATTTAGATATTTCTTTCACCAGAAAAACTATTAACAAAATCAAAAATTTGAGCCGGGGACCTGTAGTTGAGTTGACACATATATATATATACATTGGGTTGAAATATTCATTTAATATGCAGAGAGCTGGTAGTTACGTAATTAACATGGGCTTGGTACTCAACTTGACACTGGTAGTATACGTAATCAACCTTATCTACTCTTATCGTTTCTGATACGTGTAACCGTTCCTTCTTTCCCTTCCTCAAAGGAATTGACCAGATCACTGTGACCTACAGCCCACACCCATAAAATCCTCAGTCTTCGTCAGAGAATACGAGAGCACATCTAACTTACGAAGTAAGTAACTCCCATCAGTTTCTGTTATCAACTAGCCACTTTGTATTTGTCTGACAGAACATAGGACTAGTTTAAACCAGATCTTACCCATAGATCCTCATATAATGTCATGTGATTTCCTTGTTTATGCTTTGTTATGCTTGTATTTATGCTTGTTTATGCTTAATTTTTCTCGTAATGAAAATAGCCACAGAAGCTGACATGGCGTCAAACAAACAGTTCTAGTTTACTGAAGCAGAGCATCAGTCATCTGTTATTGTTTATTTTTAGCGCAAATATGAACACTCATGAATCGGAGGTGTATACGGTGGCGCCGGAGATGCCAGCAATGTTTGACGGCATGAAGTTGGCGGCGGTGGCCACCGTTCTCTACGTCATTGTTCGGTGTCTAAACTTGAAAAGTCCCACGGCTCCGCCGGACCTCACTTACCAGGATACAGCACTTAACCTCTTCCTGCTCAAGTCCTGTCCTATTCTGACCAAAGAGTGAGTGCAACACTTTAGATGATCATTTCACTGCACTTACTGCACTACTGAGTAAACCACATCTGAGAATAGCTTCGAGGCTGTTCCTGAAGCTGTGCTGCTTTTAGCACATGGTTGCTAAGGCTAATGCATGCATATTTTCTGAAGGATCATGTGACACTGAAGACTGGAGGAATGATGCGGAAAATTCAGCTTTGTCATCATAGGAATAAATTATATTTTAAAATATATTGAAATAGAAAACAGTTCATTTCTAGTTTAAGCATTATTAAACCTTGGTAATGCCATGTCTGTTTTGGACCGGCATCAAAATAAAACCAGTGTTCTTTGAATTGCTTCATGCCGAGTTCACATTGCACGATTTTAGCCCGATTTTTCACTTGCCGACAGGTTTTGCGAAATCGCAGACAAATGCCGAAATCGGAGGCAAATCGGTGCTCGTTCACGCGAGTGACAATCACGCAGTGTGAATTATCAAAGACGCGATCTGAGGGAATCACCGACACGTCGCCGACTTTTCGCCGATGATTTCTTGCAAAGTTTAGCTCCAACCCTGATCAAACTCGCCTACCTGTGATTTTCTAATGATCCTGAAGACATTGATTAGCATGCTCAGGTGTGTTTGATTAGGGTTAGAGCTAAACTCTGCAGGAAAGTGGATCTCGTGGGCCAGATTTGAGGATCCCTGCCCTATATGGTTCATTTCCAGAGATATTGGAATTTCAATATGACTCCAGGAGTAAATAGTTAAATTGTACACATTTTCAGTGGTCAAAAACCAAATGTGATTCATTTTGCATAAAGATGATGATTCTTCTTTCATTTTTAAAGAGCAATGTTACCATTGGCAGATTTGGGCACATAAAGTAACAAAGATTGCTGAAGTCAACATATTTTGCTAATTGACCTACCGATCTCTGTGAGAAAAGAACATGATACTGTCATCTTTCTAAAGTCATTTTTACCCCCCTGTAATTTGGCTCCAAATCTCAGGTGAAAATTGTCATTTTGACCCCCCTCTACAAAACAGTGGAATACTTACATCCATAATATACATCTATGACATTTCATATTTTGGCTTTCTTCTTAATTTAGATATTTCTTTCACCAGAAAAACTATTAACAAAATCAAAAATTTGAGCCGGGAACCTGTAGTTGAGTTGACACATATATATATATACATTGGGTTGAAATATTCATTTAATATGCAGAGAGCTGGTAGTTACGTAATTAACATGGGCTTGGTACTCAACTTGACACTGGTAGTATACGTAATCAACCTTATCTACTCTTATCGTTTCTGATACGTGTAACCGTTCCTTCTTTCCCTTCCTCAAAGGAATTGACCAGATCACTGTGACCTACAGCCCACACCCATAAAATCCTCAGTCTTCGTCAGAGAATACGAGAGCACATCTAACTTACGAAGTAAGTAACTCCCATCAGTTTCTGTTATCAACTAGCCACTTTGTATTTGTCTGACAGAACATAGGACTAGTTTAAACCAGATCTTACCCATAGATCCTCATATAATGTCATGTGATTTCCTTGTTTATGCTTTGTTATGCTTGTATTTATGCTTGTTTATGCTTAATTTTTCTCGTAATGAAAATAGCCACAGAAGCTGACATGGCGTCAAACAAACAGTTCTAGTTTACTGAAGCAGAGCATCAGTCATCTGTTATTGTTTATTTTTAGCGCAAATATGAACACTCATGAATCGGAGGTGTATACGGTGGCGCCGGAGATGCCAGCAATGTTTGACGGCATGAAGTTGGCGGCGGTGGCCACCGTTCTCTACGTCATTGTTCGGTGTCTAAACTTGAAAAGTCCCACGGCTCCGCCGGACCTCACTTACCAGGATACAGCACTTAACCTCTTCCTGCTCAAGTCCTGTCCTATTCTGACCAAAGAGTGAGTGCAACACTTTAGATGATCATTTCACTGCACTTACTGCACTACTGAGTAAACCACATCTGAGAATAGCTTCGAGGCTGTTCCTGAAGCTGTGCTGCTTTTAGCACATGGTTGCTAAGGCTAATGCATGCATATTTTCTGAAGGATCATGTGACACTGAAGACTGGAGGAATGATGCGGAAAATTCAGCTTTGTCATCATAGGAATAAATTATATTTTAAAATATATTGAAATAGAAAACAGTTCATTTCTAGTTTAAGCATTATTAAACCTTGGTAATGCCATGTCTGTTTTGGACCGGCATCAAAATAAAACCAGTGTTCTTTGAATTGCTTCATGCCGAGTTCACATTGCACGATTTTAGCCCGATTTTTCACTTGCCGACAGGTTTTGCGAAATCGCAGACAAATGCCGAAATCGGAGGCAAATCGGTGCTCGTTCACGCGAGTGACAATCACGCAGTGTGAATTATCAAAGACGCGATCTGAGGGAATCACCGACACGTCGCCGACTTTTCGCCGATGATTTCTGACTGAAAACTACATCGGCGATGACATACAGCCAATGAGAGACCAAGATACAGGGCAGAGGGAAGTTCGGGGAGGAGTTATAGACATATATCAGTATTTTAATAGATAGGCCTATATGAACAATTATATCATACAGACACAAGCACAAACATTTGCTTGACCAGCCACAACATCAGCATAACAGTTACTGCAAAATTATTTACCTCCAACTTTCTTTGCAGAACACCCAATCCCTGTTCCCTGCATCTCCCTCCTGCATAATCTAGTCAAGTCAAGTCAAGTCACCTTTATTTGTATAGCGCTTTTAACAATACAGATTGTGTCAAAGCAACTGAACAGCATTAATTAGGAAAATAGTGTGTCAATAATGCAAAGTGACAATAGTAAACACTCATTTTTCAGTTAAAGACAGTTCATCATTGAATTCAGTGATGTCAACATCCAGCTCAGTTTAAATAGTATCTTTGCAATCATGTCAACGATATCGCTGGAAATGAAGTGTCCCCAACTAAGCAAGCCAGAGGCGACAGCGGCAAGGATCCAAAACTCCATCGGTGACAGAATGGAGAAAAAACCTTGGGAGAAACCAGGCTCAGTCGGGGGGCCAGTTCTCCTCTGACCAGACGAACCAGCAGTACGGAAAATCGATTTAAGACGTAATAAAACAGACGATAATCTGTTTTTCTTTTTCTCCTTGTAGCTGGAAATCAGCTCTCCGACAATTTGCGGGCTATATATATATATTTTTAATAATTCCAGTCTCGCTGGAGAACTCCGGTCTGACGCAAGCGGGTTCTCGTGTTATTTCCTTATCACTTCTCACGTGTGTTTTGTTGTGAAACGTAGTTTGCGGACTAGACAGAGCTGTCTGCGATTCTTCCTATTGTAAAGTCATGCAGTGTGTAACCTCCTGTCGCCGACCCATCGTGCAATGTGAACACAGCAGCGACTGACTGCTACCTCAGATAGTCGTGCAGTGTGAAGACCACGGTGACCCGACGACTTTGAAAATCGTTCAGTGTGAACTCGGCATTAGGCTACCATGTAAAAGCCATGCTATATCAATATTGTAATCAATACCACGGTTTGTATCAAAGAACTAAGTTTTATTTATAGGATACATTAATATTTTGAGTTAGCTTTCATTTTTTATATCTTCAGTTTTAGTAATTTTGTTTTGTATTTTTGTAATTTTGTCATCAACACTTTCTTATTTCAGTTTTATTATTATTTTTAATACTTAAACTGTAGCATTTCTTTATTTTCAACCAGTTTAAGTTTTTTAAATGTAAGTTTTTCATCTAATATTAATATTTCACTTTATTTCCGCTTTATTTCAATTAGCAAAACACTTTTTAATAGTTTTAGTCAACAACACTGCACTGTACAACATTACGTCCCCTTGGAATTATAAGGTTCTATCTGACATTTTTGTCAAAATTGAGTTATTCACATTCTTATTCTGTGACAACTTATTTACATTATTTAATGTTGTGTATATTTTGGGACTTTTTATTTAAAAAAGCAAAAAGGTTCTATCTACACAGTCGAATGGAATGCAAAAACTTTGAAGCTCAGTATCTCAAAACTACTCGGAATGCAGATAAAACCTTATAATTCCAAGGGGACGATTACTTTTTTAAAGGTCAACAGTCTTCAAAATCACCAAACGTACAGGTGTAACCACCTAAACTATAATGCAAAGTAGGGAAGAGAGAGAGCAACATTGTTCCTCAAAATGATTAATGTTGCATGAGTTCAGTTATTGTTCAGCTACAGTTAAGACACTTCTAAAAGAAGTTTGTATGTGTCAGAATTCACACTTTCTGGTAAAGTTCCATTACCACAGCACAGCGTTTACCATCGCTCTCAAACACAAAGTTTAAGCGTTAAAACACAATAAGGTAATTTTATAGATGAAAATAACCGTACAGTCTGTTTGCTGCAGTGTCCTCCTATAAATGTAAAATACATGCCAATTAGTTCAGTGGTATTTTGAATGCTTTCGTGATGGTTATTATACTGTTTACACTTGAGGCCAAGACAAAGCGTGCCTTTCCAATAATGTCTGCAGAAATGTTTCTGTACCTGCACTGCCATTGTATAGTGTGTAATACATGTAACTGGCTAATTTATCAAGCCATTGTTATTCTTGGTTTCAGTTCCACGTGATGGTTAACATTCATTCACGATCTGCAATTAAAATAAGAAACATGTCATCTGGAAGCTGTTCTGCATCTCATATGTCTATTGCACAGTGCGGGTGGGTGTTTTTTGTAATTCAAAGTGACTCCCGGCTGCTTATGTAATCATTATTTTCCAGTATATCTACTACACTAGGTGCCAAGAGATCAATCGACAAAACTCAGCCCATTGTCCGTACTTATCCTTATCTCCTCGGTGGCACAATTAACTTTTCCAATGTTTGTTTTGGTGGAGGATTTTCCAGCAAAACGCCTTTTACGAAAACAACCGCTTTAGAGCGTTCAGAGTTTGAAGATCTAGAGGTTATTTTGTCAAGCATTGCTAATAGTCGCTCGTGCCTGTGATGTTGCATTTTTTTCTAGTCGGTTCTGTCGTTCGTTAAGTAACGCTTCAACATTGTCAACATTCCAGAGATGCACCTGGTTATTTGAAGCAAGTTTGCATTGTGTTGATGTTTGTGTTGCTTAATTGATCTGCTCTAGGGTTTTCTGAACTCGGCTCACCTCAAATGACTTGTTTTTTTCAGGTAAAGCTCTCTGTGCTGATCCTTTCCTCGTCTTATTTGACCGTGTCATTGTGAGCAGATTAAACTAGCCCGGCTTTCATTGCTTGCGTCTCATAACCGATATTTTAGGGATGATCACATATAATAGTCAGTGGTTATGTAGCTACGCTTGAGGCTATATCGTGAGAGCATGTTATGTAATACTTCAGGAGGTGTGTAATAGATCCCAGTGACAGTGAGAAGGGTAAGACGATGTGGAAGGTGTTCAGTGGACTTTGTTTACTGCTGTTATTAGGCTCACTAGCGTTGTTTAAGTGGTCTGGATGCCTTTAGTTAGCAGAGCAAAGGCGGGCCAAGTTAATTCGGCAATTGCCAGTGAAAAAGAATGTTATGGAATGTTACAGCTCAAAATAGTGATGTTCTGAGAAGTTACGTCAAAACAAAGTTGCATCTCCGAACAGTAATATTCTAGAATTTCAACGTCTCAAAACAGCGAGAAGTCTCAATATTCCAGGAAGTTTCATCTTCAAACAGTGATATTCTAGAATTTTGCCTCGTACTGATATTGTGCAAAGTTGTGTCTCGAGTGATGATACTTCAGAAAGGTATAAATCTAACTGCGATATTCTAGAAAGTTGTGTCTTCACACAGTGGTGTTGTAGTATGTTGCTACTCAAAATAGTGAAAGCAACGTAGGGAAAGAGTTTTTTTGTCACTAGGTGATTCAAGGAAATACGCTTAACATTTGATCTGTTGTTAAAAAAAATCACAGATTAAAGAACACTGCCAGAAGCATATTCTGTTTAATATTAAATAATCAAGATGATGTTTCTAACTTGAAAGGTAATAATTTGCCTTAAAAATGCTTCTCATAACTTAACAGATTTTTATCCTTGAATGAGCGTATGTAGAAGGACAGAAATTATCCATAATAAAATGTGTGTAAAGTGACTCAAGGTACCCAAATAAGATGCATGTTAATCTGTGTCCTTTTTAGAATATGTAAATGAACGTAATATTAGTTAATATCGATGTGTTGCCATCTGTTTGTTTTTTATGCTTTTGATTTTACACTCACCAAGGCTGCATTTATTTGATCAAAATTAGTCAAATTTGTAGCATTGTGAAATATTAATTAACATTTTAAAATTACATTTTAAAATGTTTTCTGTTTCAATATATTTTCAAATCTAATTTATTCCTGTGATGCAAAGCTGAATTTTCAGCATCATTACTCCAGTCTTCAGTGTCACATGATCCTTCAGAAATCATTCTAATATGCTGATTTGCTGCTCATGAAATATTTCTTACTATCAGTGTTGAAAACAGCTGTGCTGATTAAAGATTTTATGGAAACTGTGATAGATTTTTTTCCCCAGGATCTTCTGTTTTTGGGCCTCTGATGTTTTTATCACAGTAACTGTATAATTTCTTTATTATTCTGTAATACAGCTGGTAAAAAGGCTTTGCACTGTTTAACTTAATTCCTGCCCACACAAGTACAATATTTATTACCACTTCATGAACATATTTCACCAAAAGTTATGCTTTTACAGATCTATTCAGTTCATTCCTATGAGTCTAAGCAACCCACAAGCTTAGCGAAGGGTCAGTGTGTAATTGGTTAAAGCCTAATTGGTAGGTGGGGCTATTACATAACAGCAGCGTGCACCTGTGTGATGATGCATGGAGTCAGCAGTAATGTGACCCGTCCCAGTGCCCAGGCCTAGAGACAAACCTGGGGAACTGCAAAAATGTGGGCCACTACACTAATGGTTCATAATCATCAGAAAAATATGCACACTCTGTATGTTTTTTATTTTGATGAAATATGAACCTAGAAACATTATCATAACTAAAATTTAAGCTAAAAATGTTGATTTTGTTAATATTTTTTCTCAAGAAAAACAGACATAAATAGTGACAAAAGCCAACATAGTAAATGCCATGGATGAATATTTACAGAGTAATCCACTGTTTTGTAGGAGGTCAAAATGGCAATTGGAGATTTGGAGCCAAATTAGAGGAGGGGTCAATAAATTTAGAAAGATGGCAGCATCATTATTTTATTTTTTTACAGAGATTGGTATATTTATTAGTAAAATCTGTTGACTTTAGCAACCTTTGTTGCATTATATGCCAATGGTGACAATTTAAAAATGTAAAAAAAGCATTCCTCTCCCAAATTTTGCACATCTGTAACTCAAGAAGTATCGAAGACATCTTAATACAATATTATATTCTGGTTCTTAACAAACTTTTCTTCTGGTATCTTAATTTTTAAGGCCCTATATGGTTAATTTCCAAAGATATGGGGATCTTAGTGTTGTAAACGAGTAAATTTCCAATTAAAAATGATCAAAATCAAAGCAATGACCCTATTGCATCTGTTTATGTTTTTGAACAATTCTCATCTGAGCCGACTATTGGCTACTTCAGTATTTTCAAATGGGTCTTTTTGAAGTTATTTTTTTAGTGCAAACCATGTCAGCAAATCATGTATCATTGTATAAATCTGAGATTGTGTTTCATATTCTAGGTACATTCCTCCTCTACTATGGGGTAAAAGTGGTCATCTGCAGACGGCCCTCTATGGAAAGTTGGGTCGGGTCAGTTCACCACACCCGTTCGGCTTGCGCAAATATCTGCCCATGCAGGACGGAGCCACGGCAACTTTTGACCTCTTTGAACCCCTGGGGGGTCATCAGTCCGGAGGTTAGTGCCACGTAGTTGGGTTTATTTAGTCTGAGCTGGACCGTAACACTACACTCCTATGTGGAAACCTGATAAATGAGAGTCTGACATTTAAATGACATATAAATAGTTTGCTTCATCATCATTCTGAAGAAGAGGTATTATTTACAGCAATGCTTATCTATGTGAAATGCCATTCAGCTTTTATGTAATGTGACCTTTTTATGGAAGCTTATTTCCACCAGAGAATAAACATATAATAAAGATAATTGCGACTTTTTATTTTGCAATTCTTTATTCTCGTAATTCTGAGTTTATATCTATCAATTCTGCCTTTTTATCTATCTATCTATCTATCTATCTATCTATCTATCTATCTATCTATCTATCTGTCTGTCTGTCTGTCTGTCTGTCTGTATTAATTAAACTGTTTATATTATATATTATTTTTTTATAACATTTATATATAAACTCACAAATACCTTTTTTATTTTCTTATTCCATGGAGGAAATAAAAAAACTGAATCATGTAAAGTCAGAATTCTGAGAAAAAAGTGAATTGTGAGAGAAACTTGTGAGCAAAAATCTGAAATTGAAAAAAATATATATATATATATTTCATAAATTGAAGATAAAAAGATGCAATTACCTTTTTTAATTCTGTGGCAGAAACAAGCTTCCATACCATTTTGGGTAAAACAGAATTTTACATTTTAATAAAGAGATTTAAAGTAAGATGGCACATTTAAATTTCAGTTGTTAATGGCAATTAAGACATTTTAATAATTTAGAATAACATGAATGTTTTTAAGAGCCGATTTTGAGATAAACATAGCACAGAAAATAAATGAATAAAGTAATATACAATATATTTCTTGTAAAATAAATACATCTGTATTATTGCAATTTCAATGCATTGGAAAGTGAATTTTTGCAGCTATGTTGTTATTCAATGTATTTTGCATTTGTTTGCTCTGAGCCAATATTGTGACACATTATCTGGAAAAGAAAAGATCAAAAAAAAAAGTTTTTCATCATTATTGTTGATGATAATAAATGTTTCTCGAGCAGCAAATCAGCGTATTAGAATGATTTTTGAAGGATCGTGTGACACTGAAGACTGGAGGAATGATGCTGAAAATTCAGCTTTAAGAAATCAATTACATTTTAACATGTATTCAAATATAAAACAGTTCTTTTAGTAATAATTTTTCACAATATGACTGTTTTTGGTGAAATAAATGCCACCTTGGTGAGCAGAAGAAACTGCTTTCAAAAACATTTTAAAAAATCCTTCTGATCCCAAACATTTGAATGGAAGTGTAGAATTGCAGATTAGCACAAAGTTATAATGCTTGAAATTTAGGATGCTGATATCAGTAATTTATCGACTTTTTCAATACATTCCCCCATCAGTGCTGCACAGACTAATGGCTTACATAAACATTTGTAGGCCTAACCGTTTGTAGACTTCTTCCAAAAAATAAAAACAACTTACTGACCTCGATTATTTTAATGGTTTAAGTAAAAAGTCAGTCTGGTTAGTTTAACTAGCACCAAATAGTCACCAAGTCATGTTCACCTGAAGAGGTAACTATAGCAACAGTAGGCCACTCTAGTGAGCTCTATGTAATAAGCATTCAATATCAGTTGGTATATAGGCTAGACCTAAGCCAAAGCACTTTCGTTATATATTAGTTTATTATACAGTAGATAAGCTTTTGAGATATATAAATCTGATTAGATTTATATGGTAGAACCAAAAAAAGTGATTGCATACTTTGCACACTGGCTGTAAAGATTTACATTTACATTTAGCAGACGCCTTTATCCAAAGCGACTTACAAAAGATGTCAGTTTTGACATGTCACCTCTAAACATGGAACAAACTCACATCTCGCATCGCTGTCAGTGAATAAGCATGTGATGTGGGTTTCAGTGCAGAAGCAGCTCTGGAATGCGGTGGATGTGTTTGGGCTTCAGTAAATTTAAAGCCACACCTTTGTTGTCTGTGCTGTCTCTGCTGGGGTTTTCTGCAGCAGTTCGGCACACTTGGCACTGGCGTCAGCGTGTTGCCGAACAGTCGAGCTCTGCCTTCAGACAGGATTACTGAATCTATAAAACCTAAATCTCGGCTAAATCTGCTCTGCCTGATTATCTGACAGATTATTATATTCAAGATCCCTTTTAATGCACCTTATGAATTTAGCTGGAATTGATATTAAAGGGCTCATGCATATTATACTTTTTATATTTTAACATATTAATTTTTCTACTTAAAAGGTTGACTTTTTTCATTAATTTAGTTTTTTATGCCCATTTTCTCTCTGCCCCTGAAAACTTTTCTGCAATACATAACTATATATATGTGTGTGTGTGTATATATATATATATATATATATATATAATGCTGTATAGAAGTTTTCAGAGGCAGAGAGATTGAAAAATGGTCAGGAACAGCTTAATAATGAATTAAAAAAATTAATTTGAAGTGGAACAATTAATTATATATATATATATATATATTATAATATGTGCAGTTATGAATATTATATGCAAGAACCTCTTAATATAATTTTATTTATTTAATAAAATGATGTATAATTTTTTTTTCTGAATAAATGTTAAAATATTGTTCAATAAGTATACTGTCATCCATGTGTGTATACATTTTTATTATAAAAGATTGAAATCTCTTAATAAAGTAATGGACTGAAATAAATAAATTACTATTTTTAATTAATTAAGATACTAGAATGCATAAACTGGTACGTGATTGCATGGAGCTGCATGGCTGGAGTTTGTTCAGATTTCTAAACTTAAGTATGAGCAATAGTGAAAGTGTTGCTTGCCTTAAACACACCACCTAATAGTACTTTTTTTCCATTTTAAACCTTTTTTTTTTTGCTGTATTTTTCTTGTAGTCTTTTCTGACGGCTTCTCCTACCACTTCAGCACGCCTTCAGCCTATTTCCACACTGATCTTTAATTAGACAATGACCTCGTATGCCAAAAACACCCATAATTCCTCCAGAGACCCAAATAGATGTGCACAAGCATGCATGTGACCTTCATGAGATCTCTTGTTTGTTTAAACATACTATTTATATAAATCATAATGTATCGAGTCATAATGCAAAAAATGTGTGTCGTGTGTCATAATGCAAACTATGACACACTCTGACTGTTCGACTCTTAATGGTCAACACTGGGGGAGTATTAAAACTGTTTTAGTTGCTCAGTGGCAGTGTGTCAGGAGGTCAGCATCTCGTGTGCGGTGGAAACCTGAATGTTTTTTATGTTAGTGTGACAGGGCTCAGTATTGTTGCAAAGATTTACAAGCATGACTTCTTCAAAGGAAGTGTAGCAATCTGATCAATAGACCAAGGTTTGGCAATTCCTCCGAATTGGACTTTATAACTCTCAATTGCAAGTTTATATCTCACAATCCTCCGAATTGGACTTTATAATTTCTTCAAAGGAAGTGTAGCAATCTGATCAATAGACCAAGGTTTGGCAGTATGACGATACATATTTTGCAATAGTAAAAATGGTAGATTTGCTGTAGTTCTCAAGATATATTTGCACCGCTATCAGTGAGCAGATCAATAAGAGCAACAGTAAACAAGTAATTAATTTTCCCCTTCAGCCCTGATAGTTGCTGGCTGAATGCAGTGTTATTTTAGTGTTCTTTTTAAACTATTGTAGTTTTTATGCTATTATCTTTTTTTATGAATTTTGTTTGTAATTTTGTTATGTGCTTTGACGTTTTTGTATTTTAGAATTTTTTTATGTAACTTTTTATTTTTATTTCAGTTTTTTTGTTTTAGTTCAGTTAGTAATTTTAATGCTTTAACTTAAATTTAGGCAAAATGTATTTCAAAATCGTTTTTCTTTTTTCCCAGCTTTATTTCAGATAACAAAAAATAAATAGTTTTAATAACAAACACTAGCTGTGACTGTGTTGGCAATTGTGAGTTATAAAGTCAGAATTTTGAAATACAAACTTGCAATTCTGAGAAAAAAGTCAGTCTTTTTTTCCCCTCCGAATTGAACTTTATAACTCTCAATTGCAAGTTTATATCTCACAATCCTCCGAATTGGACTTTATAACTCTCAATTGCAAGTTTATATCTCACAATCCTCAGAATTGGACTTTATAACTCTCAATTGCAAGTTTATATCTCACAATCCTCAGAATTGCGAGTTCATATCTTGCAGTTCTGAAAAAAAAATCTGAATTGTAAGAGGAAAAGTTGCAATTACATTTTCGCGCTTCTATAACGTGTATTTGAATTTTGCAATTAGTCACTTGTGTTACAATTCTGACATTTCGGTTCATTTTCACCTTCCAGAAAAGAAAGAAAACGTGATCTTCGCTCTGACGCTGCACGGTGGACACCTGGGTTTCTTCGAGGGTGCTGTGCTGTTCCCTCAGCCCCTCACCTGGATGGACAAGGTCATCGTGGGCTACGCCAATGCCATCTGCCAGTGGGAGAAACAGAAACCACCGTGCCAAAGTCAAGGCGCCCATTCCAGCGAAACCAAATGCCAAGACAGTAAATCCTAACCGAGCCTGTCTCTGTTTCTCCTCCACCGTGACATTTTCACCACGCACTCGAGGGGTCGGACCACCATCTTCAAGCATTCACTGTCAGTGGGAATATTTGTTTATCTTTTTTATCACGGTTTATCACCAACATGAATCGTAACGACTTTCCAAGGGAGAAAACAATGCCACTCGATGACCAAAAAACAATCAAGTAACCTGTGTAGCGAGGGCGGCGTTTTAGATTTACTGTAGTTTGTAGTTAAGATAAAATCAGTATCTTGCTGTCTAATAAGAACACTGAAAACTGAAAGTTTATCACTGCTAAACAGGATCTAGCAGAACTGGGTGAATCTCACAAAAATCCAAAAGGGTGGAAAAAATTTTATTTTTGGAAAATATTGAAAGCTAATATTTTGCATAAACAAAAAGAAGCCTATTTTTGAGACGATTAAAATATTCAGCATATTCAGCATAAATGTAAGCACATTTTCCCCCTTTTCTTTTCTTGTTTTGGGTAATTTCAGTTGTTTGTTGGGGTGATTTTTCTTCTTTTTTTTTCAGTGGTGCGTCTCATACTTTTACTGTGTTGCACAAACAAAATATTTATTTGTAATACAATAATCTAAATCACCATTAATGAAAGGCAGTGCAACAAATAATACCGTGTTTATAGTTGAATATAATTTTACATTACAGGGAATGAAATTATTTTATTTTAAGATAATGAGAATTGCATGTCACAATGCAAAACATTAAATGGTCCTTAAAATAAGGAACATTTCTTTTAGCTAAAAGAACTCCTTTCATTGGTTTTTGGATTGAAATATAATCTAGACATGTTCTTGACCAGTTTTGTGAGATTCCCCCATCCGGCTTATTAAACCGGCACACAAACTTTACTGTACATAACACACGAGTTAATGGGAAGTGAGTGTTATGCAGGCACTGTGTGCTTATAGATATGACCGGCACGCTGTTTGAGTGCATACTATTATTATTTAATATTAAGCAACTGTCTTCAGTTCTTGGTCTGGTAACCATTTAAACACAGGCTAGCGTTCATGTCACTCTTATTTTAAAACTAACTAGACCTTTTCAAGTGTACCATAGTGTGACAGGAGAAACTTTATTAATTATGAAGCCTTGTCGGTTGAATCCAAGTCACATTCCTAGTCCATCAGTTCTTGTTTAGCACTTTTATATGACGTTTGAACTCGATGATCCTTTGTGATTACCAAAACGTGTTGACTGTCCTCACTTGCGGACCGTCCCACAAGCACTACGACCCAGTTTTAGATGACAAATCCCGTTCGGTTGAAGTTGTGCTCCTGTGGAGAACAGCACACGCTGTTGCTGCAGTATTGACTGGTGTTTGTGGAGAACCGTTGAAGTCGGTAGATCTAGATTGTGTAACGTGTTGATTTTGGGACCCAGTGGGAGACACCAGTGCGTTTCATGGAGCACGTCTCTGAAAACTGGTTACTGAAAGGGATTTGTGCTGTTGTATCGTTTTAGGGTTTTTCCGTTATCTTGTTCATTTCGTTTCGCTGTTTTGTGAAATTACTTGATGAATCGATGTGTTGCTTTACACTCGGAATCAAGACTGTCTGAAATGGAACTGATCTTCTTCTTGTGACCCATTAGAATAATCAAATGCAGAGGGGAAAATATATTAGATATAAGTTTACATTTGAAGGGAACATCCAAAGTGTTATTTCCAAAGGACTCTAAAAACCTTCAACACAGCAGTTTAGTGCGGTTAGACTTGATTTGTTTCGGGGAAGCCGTCGTAAGCCATCAGCCACAAATTGGCTAAGTAATATTTCACTGCACAATTAAAAAATAATAATAATAATAATAGCTTTTTGTTTTAAGAAAATTATACATATTTTTAAGACTTTAAAGGATTTTTTTTATTATTTTATTGTATTATTTTCATGACAATTAAGCACATTTTTCTTCCCACTTTGTAGTTCTCAATATCTCTCCAATTATTTCTCATTATTGTAACATTTTCTAACATTAAATTTTTTTTCATAAAAGTAATATTCATCATAATGTTTTTTTATTTGTGTTGAAAGATTACTTTGCCATATATATATATATATATATATATATATATATATATACACAGTGGGGCAAAAAAGTATTTAGTCAGCCACCAATTGTGCAAGTTCTCCCACTTAAAAAGATGAAAAGATGA